CGAAAAAAGTATATCACAATATATAAAATTCAAATAAAGAATAACAATGAATAATAATATTCCAAAATGGAACAGACTCACAGTATATTGACTTGGTGTACCAGATCACGTCGGGTTCACCAACAATGATGCAACGGATGTTCTAGTTTTACAACTAGCTACCAATAGCACCTTCTGTATTCGATCGTTCCCAGTCAAATAGAAATCATAAGTCAGACGAGAAGAGGCAGGAAAGATATATTTGATTCGTTACCAATATATCGAGGACCTTTTCTATGAGCTGGCTAATGAAACGTAGGAGCAGTGTCCCACGGCGAGTCGAAACGTGATCTGGTACGGATGCATGACCGAAAGCCTTCAGCTAAACAAGTCCACTTAAACACATGGTCAGCATCCAAAGTCGAACACTTAATGAACTATTGATTTTGGGGAATTATTTACAGCTACAGTGGGGTCCCATTTGAGATTTAAACATGGGTCATTGTTTTGAACACGAAATAGAGATGCTTGGAAGGGTTTATCAGAGAGGAAGAAGTGTTGGTAGGTCTTCCTGATGAGCGTTATGGAAATAAACAATAACCCAACATATTCTCGCTATCTTATCGAAAGTTACCAGCTGGTTTAATACTGGCTTACTCTATAATAAGCAATGATCTTGACACTGATTTGTTCTATTGTCTTCTTCAATCTGGAAATGGCCATCTCTGTGTATATTTTCAGAAACCGAGCATAACTTGCAGATATGTAGGGTTTCTTTTATTAAACGTAACCGTTAATTACTGGAAGTTTTCAGCAGAATACGTAGTATCAGCATCTTTAGCTAGTACATGTGGAACGAGATTGGGTCCTTACAGTATCACACATCGCGAGGATTAACACGGTTCACTTGACCCTATACTTAACTCTGGAAAGACTGGAAATCTTAAATATACAGAAATCTGAATCCGCGGATCGGTCCCATAATATAAACAGGATAAAAGCTTATCGGAATTTTTCGATAGCGTAATAAGAAGATAAAGATTATCAGAACCATGTGATATATTAGCGCAATACATTTCGAACAATCTGATCACACATATACTTGTTAAGAACATTTATATATAAAAATAAAAGGTCAACTAGACTGGAAATGAGGGGTAAGAGGAGACAAGGATAGTAATAATAATAATAATAATAATAATAATAATAATAATGTGCAAACAATTTGAAGCCTAATCACTCTGGATAATAAGCTAATATTACCAAGGTAGGTTTAAGGTGAGAACAAACTGTTTTTGAATGAAGAAAGGAGGCTTGAACTTTCGTATGGCTAAGGCCTGATAAAGCATCAGACGTGGTTATCATGAACAAATGCGAATATAAGAGTAAGATGTTATCCATCCTCAGTGATGAAAGTAAATTTATGTCTAGTTTTGCATTTGGAGGTATTAGCAAACTAGAGGCAAGAGTAAATTCAAACCTGGAAAGCTTGTTACACGTGAATGTTATTGATAAAGATGAATTTAAGTTTTTAAAACCTATGGGTTCTGAGCATCGTCATTTACATGGACTACCTAAAATTCCAAAATCAAATATTCCTTTACTCCCAATTTTATCAATGTGCCGATCAACTTCACATAATCTACCTAGATGGCCAACAAAATTGCTTTATCCTGTTCGAAGACGTTTGTGTAAATATTCTCTAAAGTATTCTTTTGAATTGGTCGATCATTTAGATGATATTACTATCAAGGGAGAGACAATGTGTTCATTTGATGTGAATTCCTTATTCGAAAATGTACTTTAGAAGAAGACTATTGACATACGATGTGACTACACAGTTTTAAACAACTGTAGTGACCTCCTTTTATGACGAGAACGCGATTGGTATAATAATGTAATAATAATGTAATCAATTATTTTTACAACCAGTTGTACTAGTGATTGTTTTACTGTACTTGCTTGTTTATCTGTACCAAACGTACTTTTCCTTCCATCGTCTTTTTTGCTTGTACGAACGCGCTTACACTCCGCCATTTTGCGTGTACTCTTTGGCACGTCTCGGTATTCTTTCGATACCATGAAATCGCCAACAAATATATCTTATTTGGACCATTAACAGCCTTCTTGTTTTTGGTCTACCGAGGGATCCAAGTCAATATCTGGCAAGTAATCTTATTGTAGTGGTGATCATGGTCAATCGCGACTCGATACCATCTACACAACCTTTAATTACCTGTCCCTTTAAAAATTCTTAAAGACTTAATATTATTATGTACTGACAAATTCCAATTCACGTCGGGCTCACCAGTGTAGACCATCTACGTTGACGATCTATGTCAAAATGATTGGGGGCCTACTAGAGTTAAACGAGAATGGGGACGAACCAACTAACGCTGAAGTCACACCTCGCGACCAGCCCTTACGTGCATTGAACCATCGACGCATCAAAGGATAATAGATGCTATGGAGACTGTACAACACAAAGGACGTTATTACAAGATTATATTAGTTAAGGTACAACTATGGAAGTACAGAAGTGAAAGAATAACCACTGCAGCGTAGGCCAGTCCATGGCGTACGATTGGTTTGTGTGCGTTGACTACCCTTGACCTTGACAGGGATCAATGATCTGTTCAGTATTCAGTGACCCTACAAAGGCGAATAGTCCAGCCAGATTGATGGGGTTGCCATGGGTAGTCCGTTAGGACTATTATTAGCAGATGTGTTTATGGCACATCTGGCTGAAGACCTAATCGAAAACGTCAATTTATAAGAGATATTTGGACGATATCTCAGTTGTCTGTGAAAGAAAGGATGATATAAACTGTCTATTGAATAAACAGTGTTCAAAACTACATCAGTCTCCCATGCGAAGAGGAGAACAACCACCAGCTTTCCTTCGTGGATATACTTCCAAGTAGACGAGATGGCTCAATCAAACGATCGATTTTTCGAAAACCAACGTGGACAGGCCAATACCTTAGTTATTATAATTATTGCCCTGTGCGATACAAACGAGATTTGATAAGGTGCCTATTTTACATGGCTTGATAGTATTTGAATAAACGAAGCTATTGATGATGATGTTAGGCTGTCAAACAAGACAAGAGTGGTTTTGCACTTAAACTTGCAAATAGATGGAAAGTTCATGGTACAGTGAGACCTACTGTAGCCTTGGTGGAAAAAAGCCTGTCTACAACACCTTACCATTAAGAGGTGATTCAAACAGCCTTTTATTGAAACAAAGGCTTAAATCAGTCATCAACAAAACGTATTGTGCAGTGAAGGTCATTATCAAAGAAAGAACGTGGTCCATGTTTTATCCAAAACCAAAAAGAGATGAGAACGATTGAGTTATATTCCACTATGTTTACCAATTTAAATATGCATGGTCACACATACATAGGGAGAATCGTGATCTCAAAATAAGGGTGTGTGAACGTGTACCAAAATGGTTGCAGAAACAAATAGAACCAAATGACCCAATAAGAGTAGAGGATAAACATCTATCATCCTCTATTGCCAAGCATAAAATCGAAACATGCCATAAGATTGATCTAACCTCGGCTTTTGTGGTGTTGTATAAAAGTGTAATTGGGCGTATACTAAGGTTTATTGAAGCCTTAGCCATACGAAAATTCAAGCCCCTTTTTTCATTCAAAAACAGTTTGTTCTCACCTTAAACCTACCTTGGTAATATAAGCTTATTATCCAGAGTGATTAGGCTTCAAATTGTTTGCACATTATTATTATTATTATTATTATTATTATTATTATTACTATCGTTTAAAAATCCCAATCATATTAAAAGACTAATATTTGAACGAAGAATATTCTTTTCGATAAATTCTCTTCAGGTTCTACAATTATATATCCAAATTAATAATCCGAAAAATTGGCCAGGTTAAAGGCAAAGTACATCATTTTACGTATATACAGATTCAAGTTAACATTCTATATGAGTCATATCAACATTAACTATTTGGTTTGACATTCCTAAATTTACATGCATTAAACGATGTACTTTGCCTTTAACCTGGCCAATTTTTCGGATTATTAATTTGGATATATAATTGTAGAACCTGAAGAGAATTTATCGAAAAGAATATTCTTCGTTCAAATATTAGTCTTTTATTATTACTATCCTTGTCTCCTCTTACCCCTCATTTCCAGTCTAGTTGACCTTTTATTTTTATATATAAATGTTCTTAACAAGTATATGTGTGATCAGATTGTTCGAAATGTATTGCGCTAATATATCACATCTTCGTCTTCTTATTACACTACCGAAATTTATCAAAGGGACTAATTGCTTATTGTGATTGTTAGGAGTTCACTATTCTGTTTGATTTAGCTCTAACTGGATGTCTAAGCATCCCTCATAATAAGCAATCCTTTTACTTGAATGCTATTAATAACTAAAGCAAGCTACCTTACTAGGTCAGGTCACATGACGTTATCATCCCGAACATTTTCGTAATTTTATCAAACACTTGCTGGGAAGGCGTCTAACATGTTACTAAGTTACTTGGCAACGACACCTACTGCAAAATATTTTTACCATAGGTAAATATATCAATAATTCCACTGTAGATATGTTTTAAACATCTCAACAGACAATGGATTAAGAAATCACAGTGCTGGAAACTCTGGAAATACTAATCCCATCAATTATTCTAAAAATATCGTTTTCATGTTACCGATTCAACACATTCGTAACTTTTTTCATTTTGAACACAAAGAGCAAAAGCAGAAAGACAAGTATTTCACAAATCACTCGGTCAAAACAGACAACATAATCAAAAGAATAAGTCAAAAGGAGACCAATATTTAAATAAATATTAAGTCAATGTGCAATGCATCAGGTGTAAAAGACAACATAATCTTTTCAACTCAAAAACAAAGATATCTGACTGTTGATTGAATTAAAGAGAAAAATAATCACAATAAACATCACTGCACATGTATAAATATATATAAATAAACACAGCAAGACGACACGGAAAAATCTCAAAGACTCATTCCAGTCTGTGTTCATAATTTTGAAGTGTATTTGCATTTTCATACGGTTCAAAACCTGATACTGTGATATCTTCGTCAAAACTACCCATTTTTGGTACTGTAATTAATTTTCCTGACTCTCCAGGATTACTTGCATGAATGCTGTGCCTCCATCCATATCCAAAATAAATTATCAAACCTATGAACAATAATTTACAATACAAGAAGTCAATGAACTGAGTATTTTTTTATAACATAGCAATGCTTGCTAAGGAGATTGACTTATATATAAGTTTTGGGCCACCATGCTTATTTTCATTCAGATACATATTGAATATTGTTCGTTTTCGTAGAAGTGTTTGGTAGACTTATTGTTCGATTGTGAATATTGTACGTCTGAACTGGTTTTATGGTGAATATTAGGAAGATTTATGTTCAAATAGTCTGACCCAACAGTATCGAAATTTAGGCATATTTTAATATTCTTAATAATCTAAAGCATTCACAGCTTGAAAGGACAGAAATCCATGATTGTGTTCAAATGCGCGTGAATATACTCTGAATCCTAGATATGATCAACTACATTAATTGACAATGAATCCTTCAGTATTTCAGTGTATTGAGTTCTTATTTAACACAATAATAAAGGCTTGTGCATCGCAGTTTAATGAAAAGTGAATCTTTTTTACTCAATGGCATTACTTAATAGCCAGCAGTGTTGATTTTTTGTTTAACTTCCGTGTTTGTTTGATTGAAACAGAATAAGTTTTGCGACTGGGAAAAACGGTTAAAGAATAACGTGAATATTTTGTCTTAAAAAAGTCCTGAACCTTTCTGACAAGTGACTGACCATTTTCCAAGGTAATTAGCTGAATACTAAACATAAATTTCCAAGGATCTTTCTGCCCTTCTATCAATTTTAGTTATGAGTTTATGTAAACAAGTCATTATTTTAGATAGGGTACCTCCATAAATATCTTCAGTAATTTTGATTATTTCTTTGAAGAATTTTGGAGCAGAATAACAAGTTTAAAGTTGAAACTATCCCTACCATATTAGTATATTTTATGTTCTATATAAACTATATTAATATACAAATACATTAAAAGAGAAATAAAGGTAAATACTCATCTTTGAATATCTTACCGATAACCAACCAAATAATGAATCGAACCCATGTCATAGGTGATAATTTTACCATAAGACAAAAATTCAGGAAAACACATAAACATGGAATCAGAGGAACAAATGGAACCTGAACTCCAAAGAAACAAGATAAAGAAATTACTGATTACTTATATACTATGCTAATAGTGATCTTTTTTCAAAATGAAATGTTTATTCTGTACTGACTGGTGCCTGAAAGTGTAAGAAGCTCTAACCAAACCTAGTAAGCTACTAATTTCATAAGATGATGCTTATTTTATTGAATTACAGTTCAGTCGCTTATGTATTAATCAGTAATAAATTCCGAGATGTTTTCAATATCGGTCTGCTAGTTATTATAATCAGAAATAATAAAAATGTGATAACTGTAGTTAATTGTTATCAATTTTCTGGAAAACCACTAAAACGTAATACTTTGAAATAAATACTATTGTAATAATAGCGCACTTAGATTTTGTTGCGATGAATCATATCAACTGAGATTCTGACGGATAAGTTTTTTCTTACTATATGAAATTTAACATTCATAGTAGGAATTTGAAACAATGGACACATCGGTCTTTATTTCATCGACACTGATTTAAAATTCAGCAGTTATTAAACAAATGATACTTTTGAAAGCATTAAATGCTTTAGAAAATTACTGAAGTAAATAGTAGTGTGTACCGAATCATTATTTTTGTTTACCGGTTGGGAAATTTCCATTTGAACATTAAAGAGATTAAGACTAAGGTGTCGACTGTTTAAAATTCCTCAATAAAATACAAAATTTATATGAAGTAAAAATTAAGATGTTTTACGGTAAATTCCTATCAATAAGACTCAGTATGCTAATACGGAATGGTTTTCTTGGTTTTCGTTGTGGTTAGCTTACACTTAGTAATATCAAGCTACTCATCAACGTCAATTCATCGAATGGATCGAAACATTTCACAAGCATAAAGTATTTCAAAAACTTTACTTTCAATGAGACTGAACAAAATATAAATTATTTTACCTATTCATGTGTCTGTCAGAACAATATGATTACTAAAAATCTCCACAAAACCCCCTTCTGATAATGTGATATATTTTGTTACTCAGAAAAAAACAACCTTCATAAATAATTTTGCTTATCACTTAATTTAAATTAAGAAAGTTGTATCAGCCATAAATTCACCATTCATGACAGAATATACTACAAATAACTAGAGATTAATTCGATTAAGCAATAAATGAGTCGAAAAATCGTCTGTTTGGGTTGTACAGAATTTTCCTGAATTTAGAAAGTTCTGGTATTTAATATATTAAATAATTAAATATTCACAATAAGTTTTATGTTATTTTAGCTTTCAAGGGATTATTTCAAGCTAAAGAGAGTCAGGTCTATTGTAATATAATTTCAAGTTATGGATAGAAATATATAAGAACTTTCGTCTAAATTAGTTTCACAGTATTTGGGCGCGGAGTTGGCGTGAGACATTAAATAAGAAGAATATGGATAGGAATAGTAGAAAATGTGATATCTGTCACTATTCCTCTTTACAGATTGGTATATATTTACACAAATTACATAGTTTCTTTCGGGTCGAACACTAAACTTAACTGAATTTACTTATCATTTACAAATTCCACAAATAACTTTTCAGTTTCATAAATTACAATTTCCTAGTAAGACAAGTTTACAGTAGATAGTTGGCTGGCATACTATTAAGGAAATAGAGATGAATTGAAGAAACTGTACATTTGTTTATACTTGGTAAAATATGGATTTTCTTTACACCTGAGAGTTGTAAAAAGCAAACATAGAGATTTGACAGGGCTACTATAGATAAGCCACAGTAAGTCTGTCAATTATCATTGGACATATTTAGTTGTATCTAACGCTCCGAAAGTCTCATCCTACATGTAATCGCACTTCTGTGGGTGTATTTCATCTCATGAAAGTATATAACCAACTGATTACCGATCTACTATTTACTCCTTGACAGCTTTTATGGACAAATATGATTTATGGATATTGATGTTGTAACATCTAAGTATATTAATTTAAATGTTATGTTAATATATTCATAAGTTTAGCAGATTTATATATTTTAGGTATTGTAAACGTAAGTGAATACCTTGAAGCTATCAAATGATTTGTTCTGTTCATGTAGAAACATAATAACCACGAAGAAAATAGCTCCAATGAGGAATAAAATAAATATCACCATTGCCCACCAACGTGCTTCTTGAATGTACTGAGCTCCTGGTAAAAGAAGACTGGCTAGACCGAAAGCGCAAATAGTATAAAGTAACAGCGAAATAATAGGTGCACGTCCGGGTGTTGAATCACGAAGAATCGGTAAGTGACGAAAGGCCGATTTCAAACGTCCAATGGAGTGTGGCCATTCGTTCAATTCAGCTTCATTAGTTTCACGTATAACCTTTTCGTTATTTAAACGTTCATCAGTTGGAAAATTAAGATTCTGTAAACAAAAACGGGGTTACTATTATTATTATTGTACTAACAAACATATATTATCAGTTAAACAAGTTAGGCTATTGCCAAGAGTCTAAGTAAATAAACCCACGAGGCCAATATAAAGTTACATTATGAGAAGATTGAAATAATGATGATCACCTATAATAATGTAAGCTGGAAGCTTTAACCTAAATGTGATCATCATAAAGCCTAATAGTTGTGTTTTTTTATGGTGAAAGTCTAGACGAATCCACATTGTTTAGCTTCATAACAGGAGAAAACAGATTAGAAGCAAGTATTATATAATTCTGTAGAATTTATTCAATTTGGATTTACTATAATAAAAGTAAATAAAAAATATCTTACCACTCAGTGAGTATTTTGATGAATAGAAAGGACAAATGAGATAATAAGGATTAATTTGATTACTAAAGAGAATTTTATGACTGTATCCGGAATTATTTTATTCTTATTGTATCAATTTTTAAAGAATGTATGAAAGAAATATTGAATTATTCATGTCAGTCATTTCTATAGGTTTATAAAATAATATTATTAGGTTGACATTTTAATAAGAGACAAAAATAAATAGTGATAAATTAGTGTATTATCGAATAGTGGGTATTTTCTCAAAACAACTATCAGCTAACATAAAAGTTAGAATCTTCAATACGAACATTAAGACAGTTCTATTGTACGGAACTGAAACTTGGAGGACTACTACGACCATTATCAAAAAAAGTACAGGTATTTATAAACAGTCGTCTAAGCAAGATCACGAGACAAGCACCAACTTGGAATTCTGAAGAGAAAAGAAAAAGACGAAGAATGAGGAACACTACACCGGGGATCGGAGGTAGACAATAAAAAAATGAACACCACTCGGAAACAACTGGAAAAGACTGCCAAGGATAGAGTTGGATGAAGAATCGTGGTCGATGGCCTATGCTCCACGAGGTGTAGCAGACTTGAGTAAGGTTTTCTTTTCAGAGAGTATGATCAAAAGTCTGTTAAAATATTAAAAGAGAGAAATTGCACGAGATGAATTTAGCGAAAATACTAGAATCTCTGGCACGAGACTGTATTCAATACAACTGAGTTTGTCGTGGGCGGTAAAGAAATAAACTTTTAACTCATACTGTCAAGTTGATAATGAGATCTTAGTTTCCTCTACAAATGAAACTTTAAAATCTGTTGAATTGATTATTAACATTGAACATAGGATGAAAGTATATTTTCTACAAGAGTTGTTAAGTTATCTAGTCTACCGTGAGTTTTAAATAGAAGTTTTAGAGAAATCTGAATCAGATAAACATTCTAGTTATAATGAACATATCTTCCGGTTGTATGAACTACATTTACGGGTAGCTTTGATAACAATTTCAAATGAAACAAGAAAGATTTGAAAGACAAGAAGTAGTAGTTGGTTATCTAAATCGATACAACAGCAAGATAATTTGACTTCTTTTTTACTAAATCAAACTAGTGACAAAAGAGCCTAAATCAGAGGACAACAGTTTTATTTTTTTTAATGCAGTTCACAATACTGAAATATAGATCATTTGAAGACTGAATGTCATTTTTTTCTACTATTTAGCTATTGCAATCTGATTTTAAAGAGCTACATACTTAAGTAAATATTCACTGGCATTTAATTTCTTATCTGAGCAAATGGATTTCAGATTCTCTTCATGTAAATTTTGATGCGAGTACGAAACAAGTTTTGTTTATCAGTAATATTTCTTACTTATGGTTTTGAACACATCACTCTACTGATCCTGTTTGCTATTGGACAAACTGGACTCAAACTTAAGTACCTTTATGTTTAAGCCTGGAAAAATTATAACTGAGTAGTGTGGATAACTTTTAGAGTAATTGCTAAAAGTTGATAATCTATTCCATAATTTTAAAGATGGTCATCAATACATACAAACTTACAGTCGACAACGTCTCATAAATTGGTTAAAACACCATAGAAATTTATCATAGAACGTTTGTTGGGCAAGAATTTTTATTTTGATGAACGAACTGTAAATGATTGAGAAGTTTCTCATGTTTTAAAAACAAATTCACTTTATATTGTTTTACTTGAATTTTCCTACTTCAGTTTAGGACTGCAATTGATCAGTCTCTTATTGGCATCCTGTGCGTATCGCCTCGAAATAGCATGATAAGCAAAAATGAATTGCGGTTAGCAGTGGGAATCAGGAAGCGTGATGGTGATGGCGTTTGAAGCGAACGGTACTGGGTTCGAGTTACGGAGTCAACAACAACTCTGGTGTGCAGGTACATCCAGCTGGCTATTCCCAAATAGGATGAAACGCACATCCTGGATTCCACTGCTAGCCCCCATTCATCTTTGTTTTAGAAACAGTTCAAGAAATGGGGGTTTATGGAGATTGTAGGTTTCCCATTGTGGTCTAGCTTAAATCGACTCATGAAGTCAGCTATTGAATTACAGATCACGGAAATAAGATTTTCGCCTTATTTTTGTGAAACATTCATACTACTTACTAGTAGTTGAAAGTGAAGTGTGGAAATGTCTGTAATCAGGATTTCGATTGAAAGCTATAAACTAAGACGTGAATCAAAAGAGTGAGCAAGAAAAAAGTACAGAATATTACAGATATAATATGATTTGGTACTGTTAGTAAGATAGTGTAATTGAACCTGTATGGCAAAAGAATAAGTCAAAGTCGAAGATTGTGGTAATTTATTATTCGGAAGAAATACATTTAACAGTCGGCAATTCAATTATTAGCTATTGTTTAAAGATATACCTAAATAACATCAAAACTCCCAAACTTAGTTTGAATATCTCCGTCTTCTATCATTTGCTTATTAAAATATCCAAAACATTTGGGATAATTAGTGAATCATCAATATTCCATTGGTTGACCTCAACACCAAAAAGTAAGCATTAATAAAGTGTTCAACTTTTATTTTGCAAGGGATTTTTGGCTTAAATCATTGGAAATGATGACTTCGAGTCGTTTTAGATAGTCGGTTTAACTAAATTGATTTATTTTCAAGTTATCAGCGTTCTGAACACTCAATTTGAAATTAACAATATCCCAAGAAATATTTTTCTATGCGTGGAAGTTTAGTGTTTCCATGACGTAGAAAGCCAATAAGTTTTTCGGAGCTATTCCTAATAGTTTATTAGGAATAAGAGCTTCTGATCGCTATACATGACCTTCAATGACTCAAGCTGGTAGTTATAATCTGTTAACAACTGAGAAAAACAAAGTTTTCTTCAAATCAAATAATTTATGTAAACATAACTTATTTGAAGAAAAAAACATCAAGATGAAAATTACCTCTTCATGGGATTCTAATTCATTCCATTGACCAGAATATAGTTGCGGTTGACAATAACGCAGAATACATACATTCATTGAGACAATTGTATAAGCAATTAGTGTTCCAATGCTTAAAAAGTCAGCTAATAAATGAATATCGCATAAAAGAGTCAGTATTGCAGCGAATATTCCAAATAAACTTAATGCAACGACTGGTACCTGGAAGCAAAATAAAAAGGCTAGTTGATAAGCGTTACACTGCCTCTTACGAAAAATAACCAACAGAAATGGTCGAATAAATTGAGCCTATATTAATTGATACTACTTAGCAAAAACCTGTTTCACTTTTAATTTGACGGTTAGAACTTTGGTTAGAATTTCAAATTCAAAATACTATTAATTTTATACTTACAGCTTTTTGTACAACACACATTACATTTTGGAGTATTTAAAGACAGATTCATAAACTAGCACTCTCAAATCTCGACTACATTAGTCGATAATTCACAGATAATAATACTGATCAATGATTTTGTGAAAAAAGCTTTTCAAAACTTCAGGAAAGTGGAATTGTTCCATAAAATATACGGCCACCTCGATTATAGACAAAATTATATGTTGACTGGCTCCTGTACATACAACAAAAGATAAGGAAGATTATTCTTCCGTGTTAATCCCTTTGGCAAGCGCACCATCGTTAGTATTACTTACTATCGACGGCGTAGAACTACTAAACCCGATATCAATCGTATGATTTAAAATTATCACTGAAAACAAGCAATAATTAAGTAACTTGTTTCATCTTATGAACTCATCTGATCTGGAAAACTTTTTATCCCACAAAATGATTCACTTGACTTTTAAAGAAAGATGTAAAAATATTCTAGTAAACTTTTAATCACAGGAAAATAAATTTTCAATCTTTAGCTGCGTAAAATAAATGAGAAATCATTTTTATCTTTCCGTAACTCCGTGGCTATTAAAATGAAATATGATAATATACAAAGTTAACCAAAAGTACTCTCTACGTTAGTTAGTTGGTAAATAAAAAATAGGAAAGTTCGGAAGATCTGTTATCTATACATTTTAAAAATGTACCATCTAAACATTTGATTACATGAAGTCAATCTACTTTGTTGAATGTTTTAGACTTACTTGTGTAGATGGTAATAGGTAGCCTAGAAATTCAGGCAATAAACCATCACTTGCCATAGCATACACTACTCTTGGCATTGCATACATACTTGTAAATAAACTGGCACTTAATCCAAGCAATGAGCCAACTCCTGTTATATATGTAGCCCATTCATAATTGCGAACATGAAAAGCAGCTGTAAAAGCAGCCTGTCGGTCAATTGTCCACCATGGTACAAAAAGTGTCAAAGCCAAGCTAGCCAATAAAAATAAAAGTGTGACTACACCGACTGATACACCAGTAGCAATTGGCATTGATCTTTTAGGATTTAATGCTTCTTCACTGCTAACCGTTATAGCATCAAAGCCAATAAATGCATAAAAACATGTTCCAGCTCCACCAATCATACCACCGAATCCATATGGAAATAAACCTCCATGAGAAGCCGGTGCGAATTCTGAACTATGCTCATTCGGCCGTGCAAACATAACACAAGTGGCCAAAATAATTACCACTAAATTTAGCATTGTTATTATAGTATTTAATATCGCTGAAAGCTTTGGTCCACGGAATAATACTAAACCAAGTATAATTATTAAAAGAGCTCCAATAAAATCTGGATAGTCGCCAAGAAATTCCACATTCGATGGAAAACTAAAATATATCGAAAGTAAAAAGAAGGAAGATATACTAGTACATCGGGATAAGGTTATATCAAATGAGTACAAATGTTTATCAATGGGACCGATATTCCACAGACTATACACTCATCCAACTAGTAATAGTTTTATGATTATAATTTTAAAGTTAGCCTTGGATTTAAGAAAAGCTCACAAGTTGCTTAGACTTCAAAAAAGTACTAAATGTGACTGATAAGAAGATACCAACAGTCATTAGACTGCATGCATTAAACGGTGACTTTCTTTAAGACCCATGATAGTAGTTAAAAATTGCAAAGTAATAAATAAAGGACTTCGTTATTACCGTAAGTGACGTACAGAAAAGATAATTAATATTATTTAGTGTAACTGGGCAAAAGATTGCCATAAGCACTAGTTATAATTTGTGTGGAGATTGATAATTGCTGGTTGCTATGACTGAAAATTAACTTACATATCTCGACTAAAGGGGAGAAGATATAAGATAGCAGGTGATTTTATTCAGGTATCGACAATAGGTTCGCACGACCAAATCCAAAAATGTACGCATAGTTACAAATGATTTATCTACCTGGTCAACAGTCAACAGTCAATACATTGAACTAGGCAGAAAGTACATGACATCAATTAACAAATAATATAATGGATTTATATAGTTTGCAACTTATTGGATTAAGTTGATTAAACTAACAGACATAGCTAAGTCACTAAGTTATACATTCGTCCCTTTCTAGTAGTGCGACATAAAAACCTAGTGAACTCATACATTTAATTAAAATAGCCGTATAAAAGTACACCAAATTTTTGTTTATTGATTTTAAAGAGAAATGAAAATGAATGCGAATCATAATATGTTTTCCATCCACTATGGTCGGGTAACTTTAATATAACAGTTAAAGAAAATTAATGGTATGATACAACAACGAAGATGGCTTCGGCGTGACCCCTCCTTAACAAAATTCCGGTCTTTTCCTTTTTCAAATAATAACTAATAACACCCTTCATTACCGATATATATTGATGAAAGAATATTATATGCTTGCTAGAAAAAATGACTCGATAACACGCTAAACAATATACTGAACAAATTCATTTGCACAAACATGTGGCTAGCAGGACTCAGTAACTAAGTGGATAACGTGATGGCGTTTGAAGCGAAAGGTCCTGGGTTCGAGTTACGGAGTGAACATCAACTCTGGGATGCAGGTACATCCAAGTGACGTGTCCCGAATAGGACGAAACGCGTGTCCTGGATTCCACTGCTAGCCACCAACCTCTTTGCTGACAAATATACTAAACAATTTTAGCAGATAACGCAGTAAACAATCCCGAAAATAAATAAATTCAAACAACAACGAGTTACACTATTTTAAAAGTTGATGTTTAAAAATTAACAATTATTGACACAGGGGAAAGATTCATCAGTATATAAGGGCGCAGAACTTGAGAAAAGGTGTTGGAAATATGTTAATGTTGTTTTTCACTACGTTAATTCAAAATCTTATAAATCTGAAAAATAATGAGTAATTTGACCGTATTCACTTAAGTCCTATGGGAAATGAAAAATACTAACGAACTTAAGATTTGTTACATTATATATTGTTTAAACATGTTAGTTAAGTGATTCGACGGTTTGAAGAGGAGATTAAAATATACTGGTCTTTTGTTTGGTTGTAAATAGGTAAACAAAAAACACTAAGCGTATAACTTAATCTAAGTATAAGCTGAACTACAAATATTTATCCTTAAATGCACATACATTTATGTACCTCTAGTCTAATATCATATTAATGTCGAAAACTTCAAAGAATCTACCCCGAAGGTTGTATTAGTTGAGCTGGAAACTTCATAGGTTACTGTATTATATAGATGGTAATACCAGTCGACTATTCAAGCTCCGACGTTTACTCAGAACGTAACCACTGAAACACCTCAGATTACTAAAACAAACTTAAGTACGTATTAGTGATAAATATAACCAATACTTAGTTTACAGAAGGGATTTTCGAAAGCGGAAAAATGAAAATATTTTAGAATTATTTCGTCTGAATTCACGTAGACTGTAACCTTAACGTGATGATTTCTGCTTATGGGAACTAGAATTTTCTTACGGTTTGAACAGACAAGTACTAATTTCTGCCGCAATCAACAGCAAGGGAAACATAAAATATCAAACGACAGAAGATCCTTTTGAGATAAGTTCATTGTTTTGGCCACACCTTTGTCATAAGTTTTCGATGTGACATTACCAAAAAGAAAAACTCGAGTCTATAAAGCGGCAATGAAACATGCTTTAAGGAGATCATGATTATGGTACGGTTGTTTTAATAAATCTATTTAATTTATTCAGATTTGAAGAGAATCACAAACGACCTTTTACTAAAGGAACTTTACCACTCATTATTTGGAGATATACACTAGTACTAGATGCATCATTGAGGAACATGGTGGATCGGATGCAGATGTGAGGGCGAGGATCGGCAAAGCAAGAGCAGTATATCTGCAACTGAAGAACATCTGGAACTCAAAACAATTGTCAACCAACACCAAGGTTAGAATTTTCAATACAAATGTCAATACAGTTCTACTGTATGGGGCGGAGACGTGGAGAACTACGAAAGCCATTATCCAGAAGATACAAGTGTTTATCAACAGCTGTCTACGCAAGATACTTCGGATCCGATGGTCAGACACTATCAGCAACGAGTTACTGTGGGAGACAACAAACCAGATTCCAGCACAGGAAGAAATCAGGAAGAAGCGCTGGAAGTGGATTGGGCACACCTTGAGGAAATCACCCAATTGTGCCACAAGACAAGCCCTCACATGGAATCCTGAAGGTCAAAGGAGAAGAGGAAGATCAAAGAACACATTACGCCGAGAAATTGAGACAGACATGAGAAGAATGAACAAAAAATGGATAGAACTAGAAAATTAAGCCCAGGACAAAGTGGGTTGGAGAAAGCTGGTCGGTGGCCTATGCTCCAATGGGAGTAACAGGCGTAAGTAAGTAAGTAAGTACTAGTACTAGATATATTATGTTTTAATTATTTACAAATTTAAGCAAACTTTATTGTATTGATATCACTGATTCTAAAGAATAGAGGGAAAACTATAAATTCAGAAAAAAACTCCGACTGATTTACAAGATGTAATTGTTATAATATATCACCTATAATGCCGAACCAAAACAAGTAGGATATTTATTCTTTATTTTGATTATTCTGATCTCTTGTAAACACATTCTAAAACTACCAACTTTACTCAGTAGTTTGTTTTCACACTATGAGGTGGGTACTGATACGCAATCTCACAAAACTAAACTTGTTGTAAGTTAAGAAATAAAAGAAGAATATTATCAGAAGGTTTACCTAGCAATTAATTAAACAACAGAAGATGAGAACAAATCCGGATAGGTTCAAACAAAAACATTACCTCAAACAGTAATAATAAGTAGTACAATTGTGATTGGTTATTCAGTTAATAGATATGTCTATCTACTACTTACATTTATTGATTAGTAAATATGATATCCTGAATTCTTATTAAACTACTGTGAGGAGTTTATAAACTTGAAGAAGGAATTGAGTTATTTTGGGTAGAGATTTAACAAGCAATTTGGAAATGGTTTGAAAACATATGTAACAGACTAAATAGAATGTTAGTAATAATGATGAAGGAAAATTCAAATAATTATCAGAAAAATCAATACAAATAGATATTTCCCTAATAGACTGACGTAATTACGAAGGAAGACCCGGGCATTAATTCATAGATAATTATAACAGGTAAAATTATGTACTAATAGGTCACGTGCTAGCGGTTGATATCATGCTATTTAATAGAATAGAGGTTAGAACTCATGTTATCTAATGTCACAAGCAACAGAGTTACCAATGGAGTATCTGATGTATGCTCAAGTGAGTGATCAATATCATTCAGTTTCAGTCCCAGTACAGATCACTTTCATTTATCTTCTTAATATGTGTTTCATCTAAAACAGTTCAACATAATTCCTTGAAGCTAAGTTAAAACTGAAACTTTCAAGTCTTATAAAGAAAGTTTTACTGTTGAGTCACTCATTCAAAATTATGATTTTAACTTTCGTATGCTTTCATGAACGTGGTAGCTCAGTGGATAATGAGATGGGCGTTTAAAAGGAAATCACTGGGTTTGAGTTCCAGATTGAATACCAAATTTGGGATGCAGTTACGTCTAGATGCTGCGTCACAATTTTCAGTTTAATCAATAAACATTGTCCACTAACGCTTTGTAGTTATAATATGCTAATTACCTATTAAAACTTTTTTGTTCCAATCTAAGGAGATGTAGGTCACAAAAATATTATGGGATAAGTTTAGTTGTATTGCGAATTTACCGTCAATCATCTTCCCCTGATGTAATCAGAGTGAAGCATCTTTTAACTTCAATTCATTTAAAAACCATAAGTCTTAGTGATTAAGTAACCGAAAATCACTAAGTGTTTGCTTCATTTTCAATAACTAATCTATAATTCAAAAGACATGTCTTCTAACTAAGAGATGATCCATGGATTTAAAATTATGATTGATTTTACATTGATTTTCCTGTCAAACATTTAAACTAAAAAATAATCCATCATGGATTCCATGTTACATATTCACTTTTTCAGTTATCCTGAAAAAGTAATCAATAAAAATTTGTAACAATTATAAGTCTAAATTCACTTAGTATTGTTTGTTTGAATCTTCCCATCGATGTGTTAGGACTGCAACTGGTCAGTCTCTAATTGGCATATGTGCATACTGTGCGTATTGCCTCGATATAGACTTTTACATTTTATTTGCTGCCTGTTTTATTACTGAAATTCCAGCATCCATTTTTCTGTTAATCCATTATAATTTACCAAGTTATAAATGAAGAGACAATTTCAAATTACTGAAACTTTTCAATTATTGAATTCTGATAAAATTTGATTAACGCTAGTCATGGGATCAAAAACTTGCAGTTTACCAAGTGTTTGAACAGCTATTTATTAATAGCGAAGGAATAAAGTTATCATTAATAATAAATAATGTTACCTAATGGATGGTCATGATAATTCGATAATCCGGTAAATATTATCACAGTAATCAGATGATAATAAACATGGTTATGGTGTAATTCATTATTCTGACGTCTAAGTTATTAATGTTATTATTATGTTATAGCGAACACTTTAGATTTATCTTAGTACGTCAAATTCCGTTAGTCGTAATGAGCTTGCTACGTTTCAATAATAGAAGACAAAAAAATCTGTTAATTGCAATAAAATGAGATGAGATAAAATGAAATTTTCAGAGACCTCGTCTAAGTGTTTTGCACAGGACTGAAAGTTGAAACGAAAGCTTCAGTTATAAACTATAATGGAGCAAAAATAGCAATGTATAGTAAATATTCATCAAAGTTGAAAGCTGTTTTTATTGAAGGTCAATACTGCTAAAGAATTTTGAAATGTATTAAATTTTAAAACCAGCAATGATGTGAAAACGTACATGATATCAATCATTTCCTAGACATTTTTTCGCATTTTCAATTATCTTTTCTTATCTTTTTGACCTTTCTTGGTTTGGATAAAAGATCCCAAGACAAGTCAATATGCAATAAGTCTGTACAAAATACATTGCACGACTACATCATAATTTCTAGACACTCTTTTCTCTGATTATACCATTGGAAATTAGAGAGCTATTTCATCCTTAAAACAAGTCACAGCTGCATACCTTTGGGAAATTTAAAAATATTACCTATTGAAAGCTTGGCGAAACAATTTATTAACAATAAAAGATCTTCAGTAATACTGCACTCACAATTAGTAGACGATCAATCAACCATTAAGCACTCTGAGACTAATCTGCAGTCATCTACTTTGAAACAACGTCAGGTAATTCAATGTTAACAGCTAAAGACTGATGAGTGGAATTCAATCGGTAAGGTAGACTAAGTAGAATTACATTGTTTACCATCCAGTTCTATGAAGAATGAGTGGTGACTCAAAGAGCTTTATGGGAGCTTCTCTAGCTGATAAACGCTAGTGAACATAAAAATTTGCCCACCAATAGGAATTTGTGAGTTATGGGAGTTTTTTCAGTGTCTCCAAAACAGCCAAGAATTACACAAATATGGAATTTCACTGATTTTAAATAGTTGTAATGCGGATATTTATTTACAGTTGAAATAAAACTTAAATTAACATTATTTCAATCAATTAACTAAATCATTTGAAGCTGACAAAACGTCTCGAAATATAATGAATTCAACTTCTTCAGGAAGTGTTAGTACTTCTGCTTTATTTAAAATTAAATGATGAAACTATTACCTAAAAAAGTAAGAGTATTTAAGAAGTTATTAGAGTTGATGATTAGTAACTTAGATACAACGGAAAATACAACATACATAAAAACATTTTACCTGCCAATAGTATTCTTCGTTCCGTTACTAATAGCATGTTGTGACATGGCGTCTACTGTCCCACTCCAACCACGTGCAACACTTGATACAGACAAAACGTATTCTAATATCATTGACCATCCAACAATAAATGCTAAGAACTCTCCGCTTGCCACATATGTATAGGTGTATGCAGATCCTGACTATGAAAGTAAAAAAACGAAAATAACAAGTGATTTGTTAGTAAATCAAAATGAAATATGGAGAATAATTGAAATACTAGTTATAAGTAATTTCATAATCAATTTTTTTAAGTTAAGAAATTGATTTCCAAAAACTTGGCAAATTATGAGCATGATAAACAAAAATGGGTATTGAAAATCAGTCAAACTTTTAGTCACAGTTTATACAATTGATTAATTTATTGCTTCTTCAGTGTTTTATTTAATGCATTATGAGGTTTGAAAAATGACATTTTCACTGGAAGTCATTTTTAATTATTTTTAAAAGAATTTCTGTTTGGTTCATTGTAAAATATTAACTTTTTTAAAAATGATGAAGAATACCTAAGGCTCAGAATGTGACTTTTTGGATAGATTTTTAACTTGACACTGAAAACAAAAGACGAAAGTGTTATTCTTCAGTATATCATTAGTTCAATGAATACTTCTAATTTAAAACAACAAAGTTCAACGAATTTCAGATCGTAACCTAGTTTAACTTCTTTCGATCATAATATTTTTCTTAATCATTTTATTAACCTTATATAAGTTCGATTAAATGCATGTAGAATTTCAAAAGTTCTATTAATCTGTCAATAGAAATCTTCTTTCTTTGTTTTCTACGGTGAATGGTAATATCATATATCCATAAAAAATATGCAATCTACGCAGAGCTTAATATTATTTACATTGAATGTCCTAAGTACAAAAAACAATCAATATAATTCATAGAAATATAAGAAAGCTGAATAGTGTTTTATTTGGCGGAAAAATTGTTTGTCCAGTGAAATTTATTTCCCAGACTCGAAGAAAAACGTAGTGTATTATAAACATTTGTTGCTCGTTACATTTTATAATAGTGACGGTTATTAGGCCAGTTTAGATCTAACTGTAGTGTTACTTTTTTTGTATACAAACACCTTCCATACTTGATGAGAGTTTTCAAGGAGATATTAAGAGTGTAGGAAATAACAGCATCACGTTGAAAGACCAATATGTTCAGATTGTATCAGGAGCATATAAAAAAACTTATGCACTTGACTGAACTAGATTTTATAAGCTAAAAGTTAATAGTAAATTAAGAGACAGTTTCTGTCACATGTTTAATACAGTTGAAAAAAACTCATCCAGAACAAAGGACCAGCAAAGCGTTTGACATGTTCTGATCCGTTTTATCATCATGCATCTAAAACTCAAGACTCGCACCTGCACGCAAAAGCTTGTCATTAACAAGCAGACGATAGTCGTCAGTACTGAGTTGTGGAGGTTGTTGAATTTAACCGAAATCATGGACGGGTGTGTGTCAGACTAGAGCACAACTACATGGTGGACCAATGGTCTAGAGTTTAGGCGTTCGCGCACGAGAACGAAGGTCTTGGTTTCGTTTCCCGTTTGTGAGGGCATGGATGTGTAACCCTGAGTAGCCCCATAATAGGGCGAAATAAGCGTACAGTGCTTCCAGGTTTTAATGGTGGTGTGACTTAGATATTTTCATGATTTCAGTGAAGTTCAACAATTTCTACAGCCTCACACTGAAATGAAAATTATTTATCAAATATTATAAGCTAGTTCAATAATCCTTTTACATGTTCTACATTGCTTATGGCTGACTGACTTGCATGTAGTATTCATTAATGGAAATAATAACAAATAGAAAACAAATAATATGATTGTTTGCTGTGTCCAAAACACATTTAGATTTAATGGTTTGAAAAACTGGGCATTGGGCAAATGTTATTCATTATTATTAGAAATTTGTATTTTCCTGTACATGAATAACAAAGCAGAATTGTTTTTCCTGATGTTTCGCCATACAATGCTAACAGTTTTATCAAATTGGTAATGAACCAGAATTTACAAAGTCTCGGCTTATATGATGATTATTTACTTCATACTGTATGATGAAAAATATAGAAATAAATATACACACGATATGAATGGTTGTTTTTATTACACATGGGAAGAGAATACTGAATTTGTGGTGATGATGTTTATGGGCATCAAATTCACTAGTTTATTTATAGTTCAAGGTCAAATAAAAAACAATTACTGGTCTGGATTTGTTGGAGCCACATTGGAGTTTTACGATAGTAAAAAGAAAGATAATAAATGAGCTAAGAATGTTTGCTGTTATTGTTGTTAAAATAAGACGCTATGATGATTATCTTTGTCATAATCAAAGTAGAAGGATGTAATCAAAAATGATGAAGTGAGATAATTTTTTAAGAAACTGTTAAGTATGCAACGTGGATCAGATATATTAAAGAACAAATCAGGGTCTCATTTAGTAGCCTTTTACGTATCTAGTGTGTACAGGAATTCAGTAGACCAGTATCAAAACGTTTGGAAAGATGACTATATGGCTCGGATCGTTTTATTAATGGCAGTACACATTAGAGATAACTTCTGTTTAACAAACTTTATACTTCCATTTGCACACATGATCATTCCGAATACTTCAAATATGAAACAATCAACAGCTTAAAACAATAAGTATTACAGAAAGGTGTGCTTTGTACAAAAATAGGCTTCGTCTTACAACGGGATACTGTAATAGTACTAAGGGTTGTTGAGTTACATTTATGAAGTTAATTTGACTCTGAGGAAGGATTGTGGGTATAACCTGTTACGAAGTTTACGATTAGATTAGTATATCGGTTGAGTTACAACGCAATAACGATTGGAAACACTATCAAATTTTTCAGTAATGTCAGATCCTATCTCAATATGTATTTTGAATTTGTAATTAAATCCATGTATTGCTTACATGCAGAATGTAATGTGAATGTAAAAATGAATAGATTAGCATGTAAATTAGACAGTTTTTTGAAACAGAAAAACAATATAGCAGCTCGAAACACAAACTTATTGTGAAAAAAGTTAGGCCACGTTCAACAAGTATTTTCGAAAAAAAACATGATAGTATGCAGGCAAATTCTAAACTGTATAATGAATGAATCTGCTCCTTGGCCTCAGATTTATAAGCTAATATGTAAATGAATTTATCGATTAAACCATAATTACTTGAGGTTTCAAATTATTGATTTGAGAATTAGTATTCGCGTTTGAATCTAGCGAAAACCTGAAGGAACATTTATTTTGATTGAAATTAATGTAACTAGTTAGTAAAATAATATTGATTATTAGTTACATGCTTATTTGGATTTCATCCCATCTATCATTAATGTAATCTCATATTCGATTCCTACTGTGATATGAATAAGACTAGGATTTATCTATTGATTTGTTCAAATGATCTAAATTGTCATTAGGATGAAAAATAATTTATCACATTTCATGAATTATGTTTTTAAATAGTTGTTTCTTGTTTGCTATATAAATATTGTCTTTTTCATGATGTCTTGGATAAACAGTAGTAATAAAAATATTTGTTTTTCGAATACCTGAACAACAAATACAATTCTTAATTCGGATAAATAAAATTTGAGAAAGGCCCAAACCCAAGTCACCCCCTATTTTTAAAGCTGAGTTCTGAAAGTATGATTAATAAATTGTGTAATGAGGGAATATATCCGAAACTGCCAAACTGTATTCATTTGGTGAACACTTTAGCCCATAGATTGTCATCTTCGAAAAATCTATCGTCTGTAAGGGCTCAAGTGGGAGACATAAAAAATTGACGTGTTGTTTTAATACTCGGATGTATGATCGATGACGAATATCTACTTTATATACCCATAATTGCCATGCAATTTTACTACCATATGAGCAGTTTACTTCAGCGTTATTTTTAAAACACAATAGATAATACCAAAACTCACAAATATAAATCAAACTCATGTTAATACGAAAATAAATCAGAGATTGATGCCGCTGTCTTAATCATCACCCTTGTGGAATTTCGGTCACTAAATTTTACTCGTCAGCTTATAGCAACTTATATATGACTACTTCAGATTAAATTACAACTTTCTTTGAGTTGCTGAATGTTGTTTTAATCACAGATAAATGTTCTGAAAATCAGAAAGTATTGAACTATCATTTTATTCCACATTAGAACTCAGCAACAAAAAACGTCATTGATATTTTAAAAGTTATAAACCAATACATTCATATTTCACACGGGATATATTATAAATTCACTGGTGACAGATTTGATCCGATCCGAGGTTATTTAATCAAAATCAAGCATAGTTATAAAGTGACTCCCTTGTATGGATTCCGTTATCAATGATACCAAACTACTTACTAGAAAAATCAACTGTATTAGAAATTATCGTGAGAACTATCGATTACACAATTACTAGTTTCAATGTGGTTTTACAAATTGCTTTAAGGTTCTACAAGTTATCGAAGATATTACGTGTATTTTATGTTTACAATTACAATGTGAAGTTTATCATTGTTACATTTAAATAAAAGAAATCTTTATATTCGTTATGAGGCTGTACTGAGAATATAACTCACATGAAATAAAATGAGGTTTTGATTCATCGACATGTTTTATATAATTTTAGATATTGTAATTTTAAGCAACTAAGGTATTTCCACTAAATGGATAGTCGCAGTTAAAACTGATGGCATTATTGAGTATATGACAGTATAGATACCAGTGCAACAAAATTACTGAAAAAAAACTAAATGGTTTTGTAAAGTAATATAATGGAGATGACATCTATGATAATATTACAGCTAAAAAAAACCCGTAATTTTACTCGATTAAAGTGGATAGGTGAAATGTTAATAATTAAAACAAACCCATTTGCTCTTGTATTCATCTACCATAAATTTGACTAACTGCCGTGCAAGTATTAACTGCAACCTTGGGAAAAACAATGGAAATATTACAGATGTCCCAAATATTTAAATACAATTCAATGAAATGAAAAGCAACGTTTTCAAAGACTAAGAACTCTTTTCAAAACGTTTATTTATTGGATAAATATTTTATCTATGTTAGTGCTAGATTTAGATATTTGTGTTGATTTGCGTTGCGAAGAAAGACACTAAGTTTTCAAATGAAACACGACTAATAAAAGCGTTATAAACTATTTCTTACTAGAATAATAAATTGAAAACAACTTAACAGAAAATACATTAGAATTACCTTTGGTATTCGCGAACCAAGCTCAGCATAACACAAAGCGTTTAAGAAAGCTGTTATACCAGCAACCAAATATGACAAAAAAGTAGACGGTCCAGATTTATCACGGATTACTGTACCAGTTAGGACGTAAATGCCAGCTCCTGCCATATTTCCTGAGAACAAGAAATATGAAGTAAAAGTCAATTTTATTACCTATACCCAAAAGGGTAAGGTCGAAAGCTGTAAGACATCTCTTCAATGGAGTATCTAAGTTGTCACGATCAAATCGGCGAGATCTTTTCATAGACTCCCATACTCTTTTCAAGTGAGACTTTGTAGTTTCTGTCATCAAAAGAAATTTCTCACTGTGGCAAACGAAAACATTCTTACACAAAAAGAAAATGTTTACTCGAACCAATAAATTATAATGGTGGGGAAGAAACTGATTGGTTATTGAGAGGTCTACAAATATGTAAGAAGTTGATGTTTACTACAAATATAAATTCATGAGATATTCGAGGAGGCATTCAATAAGTCAGAGTCTTTTAATTTAAGGTTTTGTTTTAAAAATTAGAAAAATACCCGAAACTTCAAATGCTTACGTTACTTTCTTCGTAACCAGACGGTAAGTCGGTTTCTAGTATATCCAGTCTCATTGCCGGATCTTCTTACTTAAGTATTTATTTCGCTTAAAGAATTTTATTCATGATGGTATCATATTTGTTGTTAATGTAAACTGTATCTATTGGTTATAAAATTAGTTTGTTCAAATTACGTTGAAGCAATGGTTGTTTATGTTATTCAACAAGTTGGAATTCAGTACTCCAATTTTCCATAGACATTTGGGCATTTAGTAACCCATTCCAGTCATCTTTCTTGCTTTGGTTGTAATGAAAGTATTCCACCAGGTCAAGCAGGATTATATAGATTGAAATATTTCTGTGTTCCTCCTAGAAACTAAAATTGCACTCTTACTCCACTTTCTAGTTAAGTAGCTTCAATATTTGGAACACTTTTTCGTCAAGTATGTGTCTGTGGTTGTTGCCCTTATAACTTTCATAACTAATGCGATAAAAATACATTTGACCTTGGGTTTGTTAGTACTGCCTAAGTTATTTTGAGTTATATGCCGAGTTCACAATTTTTTCATCGTTTTTGCGTAACGATGGTCGTCAGTCATTCGTAACCAACATGAAACCTTTGATAAATCTGCATTATCTCAAGTTATCAAAACTTGACATCATAGTGAAATAAATTCGATTATGTGAGATAGTAGCGGTATCGCTGATGGTGAAAGACCTTATATAACTTACTAACTACAAGTCTTTGTTATCTGAAGATCGTGCGATCGTTCGAAAATCAGATAACTTACCTTAGAGGTAGGGTTCTACAGGTGAATAACATCTCTACAAACGTTAACGTTAGTATTGTGCAAGCAAGTTTCATATGCAATAAAAAATAGATAAGAAAGGAAAGAATCGTCTATCTAATGGTCTTTAATGATCCTTACAGAATTCTCAAATGATAGTTTTTTATGGTCATGTTAGACCGTATAACTCCGAAAATACAACACTTTACAAGCACTCGTGTTTGTTTTCGGCTTATTCACAATCACAGCTAGAATGAAATTGAAAGTTTATTAGATACACCATGACGAGTAGCTACATTTGTGTTCTCTTGCAGAATTGGTAACCTAAATACGTGCACAAGTTCCTGACAGAAAAGCGAATACTGTGATTGTAATGGTAGTCTCCCCCAACACCAGTTTATCTACTCACGTATCAGCATTATATCCCACTGCGACAAACAATAACTCTAAGTACTTAATATATCTCAGTTATCTTTCCCGTTTATTGCCCTTCGTGGGTTTAATTGTGCTTCAAGGTTCTCCAGCCAGTTTCACCACTACCTGTCAAAGGTGTTCCCATGATGTACCATCCCAGTAAAATGTATTCGTGTATTATAATTGAGAAGTGACAATAAAGGTTTAGTCATTCGATAAGTTCTCCCCAGGTTTTATAGTTTCAAATTTGAGTAAGTGGTCATAATAAAGAAACTTGTACAAAATAAATGTTTATTAGTACAGACGACACTGCTTCTCAGTATGCTGTTCTATTTTAGGCAAGGAGGTATATTGTCTACCTAAAAGTATGTGTAAGTTGGCAAACGTCTAGCTCATATCCTCTATTCATACCTTTATTTCGTCATCATCGGGTTTGATGCAACTTCAAACTAAAATCGGTCAGTATAACTAACTATTTCATTTTTTGCTTAGTATAGATATTAGAGGGAAAAATCTTTAAGATATCTTACATTTGACAGACAAAAACACGTCGTACAATCTTAATCTTTATGACCAATGAAAAGGTCGATCTATAATGTTTATACTTATCGCGTACGGTGACATCCCATTGCCGTTTCCTCTTTGTTATCGCGTTCGGGCGATAGCAACCTAAGCTCAAGTTGAATTTTTTGGAAGTTTGATGTCATTCTTTGCGTCACTGTTTTAGAACTTTGTTCACTGTTTGATATGGCAAGGTTCATGGATTAGAGGATATATCAAGCCGCTCAGACATGTATTCGTAAGCACCGTTCTAGGGAGTTGTGGTATAAATACAGATGTACATCAATCCAGTTATAATCCAATGACTACTTATCAAAAAATACCGTACTTATTTCTTCTAACTAGTCACATGGTCATCTGATAATTTTTGTCTACAAAGTCGAAGGATTGTGATACACAGAGTACGTCTATGACACTAGATATAATGCTTTAGGATGACTTATATATCGAAAACCAACTGTCATTATCGCAAAATCGGAGACATGAATGCGGGTTCGCTGACAGCAGTTACATTGAATATTAATAGCTTCCAATGATTCAATGGTCCTCAGATAGAGAGCCGTCGAATATCATCAGCTTCTAGAGATCAACTCAACCAATCCCATTACGTTTTAATCTTCGAACTTACAGCCACACTGAGTGATGCATCATTTGTTCACTTCTTACTATTGTTTCAACGATTGTGGTAAGCCTAAATGCGAAAGAAGCTATTGATCTGTCCCCAGTATTTTTAAAATATGATTGTCTGAGATTACTGGTTGAATGAACTGAGTTACTATCTCGTATATATAAATGAGAGGTAAGTCTATCGATTCCAATCAGTTCGGCATATGGAAAGAGGTGGTTGCCATAATGATTAGTCTGATTTGCATCTTTTCGAAGTCCTACCATTCAGTCATTTGACCACAAATCATTTATAGAGGCATATCCTAGAAAACATGACCTGCTTTAGCCTCTGTCAATTTACCACACATGGGCAGCTGATTCTTCACTCAGTACTTTAATCAAATTTAGCATGACATGTGTTGTATATGCTCAACCTCAACCTCTACCTCATGTAGTGATACTGCCTAATGTAGGAGTAGGTTGGGAAAAAGCTTGGGGACCAAACCAATAGGTGACATCAGTTCATGATGTCACTAACTGTCCATCTGAGGGATGTTGGTAGATTTGGAATACCTGGGTGGGATCAACACGATAACCTTGGTCAGTGGTTGATAATTCTAGATAATATGACTTGGAATCGTTCGCAGAGGCACAGGTGCATTTCTTCTTTGTCTTCATCTCGATCTTGAGTTCCAGTACCCCTTGATACATAATTTTCCACTGTCTTTCCAAATCATATTCTCACAGTCTAGTCTTTATTTTTATGATTATCACTACAGTACTTTCATTTTGTTATGCTAATCATGTGTGGCGATTTGGGCCAAAGTACATCTGTGCCACGTCATGTTGATAATATCTGTCTGTGTGTTTTGTCCTGTATAAATACTGAACATACTCAACAAAAGTATTATTCAGTATTATTCTCCATGTTTGCTAAAATGCAATGAGAAGAATTCCTGATGTCTCTAGATCGACACACTTAATTGTCGAATGTCTTTTTAAAGTTATGTGATAAAATGAGTTTTCCGAGGCTCCTCCTGTGTATTTATTTATTTAAACACATACATATTGGTACAAAAGGGCACCAGATACATATGCGCCACACAAATTAATGAGAATGGGAAGAGAAAGGGGGAAGATGCGTATATATAAAGGAAGGAAAAAAGAGAAGAGTAATAATGGGGGAACTGAAATGTACGACACCATGTCATACACTGACCTCCTCTCCGCTTTTTCCAACCAGTCCCAGAGTCGGCAAATAATGCACGACGCGGAAGTTTCTGGGACGACATTCGTAAAACATGTTCAAGCCACCGAAGTCGGTGTTTCAAGATGGTGACACCAATTGGATTATCGTCTCTGCGCTCGAACACTCGATGCCGAACCTCTGCATTACTGCTCTCACCGATGCGTTGAAGATCCGACCTTTTACAGCCAGACTAACCTCACGAAGGCGCCAAAGATGGCCCAGATTGGTACAAGCCGCTCTGGCTTTCACTGTACGTACATCGATCTCATCACTCACGCCACCACCAGCACTTATGTAGCTACCTAGATACACGAACTTCTCAACTACTTCAATCTGCTCACCATCTAGGGTGAGTACAGGATGAGAATCCTGCCAGTCTTGTAGGAGTACTTTGCACTTGGAGGGTGCAAAGCTCATACCTCGCCTGCAGACACTGATTGCCAACTGATTAAGTGCAGATTGCATGCCTTGGGCATTGTCGCACAGTAAGACAATATCATTCGCATACTCGAGGTCGAGAAGTCGTTCTCTAGGCAGCAGATCCACACCGCCATTACTTACATCCATCAGAGCTGTTTCCAAGATGTCATCGATGGCAAAGTTGAAGAGGAATGGTGAGATTGGGCAACCCTGTCTTACCCCACTGCTCGAATGGAACAAGGGAGAAAGGTGGTTGTATGCCCTCACTCTGCCTGAGGTGTTCGTGTTCAGGGCCTTTAAGATGTTAATGAACTTCTCAGGCACACCCTTCTTCAATAGATAATCCCAGAGAACAGTCCTGTCCAACGAATCGAAGGCAGCCCTGATATCAAGAAACACTACGATTGTTGGCCTGCGATAAGTATGACGGTGTTCTAACATTTGGCGGAGGGTGAAGATGTGATCAATGCATCCTCGACCAGAACGAAAACCAGCCTGCTCCTCGCGAGTCAATCGTTCTCGGGTTTTAAACAACCTACGAAGAATGATAGAAGCCAATAGTTTGGACGCAATCTGAAGTAGACTTATCCCCCGATAGTTATTGCAGGAACAACGTGAATCCTTTTTAAAGATAGGGACGACTATCGACTCATTCCATGATGTTGGAACACTTTCTTGTTCCCAAACCTTTCCAAACAACACAGTCAATTCCTCAGTCAGAAGGTCGCCACCATCTTTAAAAAGAGCCGGAGGTAAGTCATCTGGGCCAGGTGATTTGTAGCGCTTCGAGAGTTGGAGTTCCTTGTGGACTTCCGCCTCGTTTTGTGGATCAGTCGTCACCGGCCATGGGGGGCAGGACAAACTGGTTGATGTTGCCGGAGCAGCAGGCCAGTTGAACTGCCCTCCAAAGAATTCTTCCCACCTTCCAAGACTTCGATAGATGTTCATGATTGGCATCCCGTCATCCTCGTAGATTGTTTCACTCACACCAGACTTTTTGCTGCCAGTGGCTCGGATGAGTTGGAAGAGCTTCCGGCAGTTACCAGATGCAGCTGCTGCTTCCATCTCATTAGCACGCTCCAACCACCAGGCTTCTCGGTCCTTACGCAAGCTTTGCCCGATTTCATTACGTAACAGCCTTCGTTTGTGGTCAAACTCACGGTCACCCGGAGTAGACCGACGGGCTTTCATCAGTTGTAGGGTGCCAGAAGAAACCCAGTGCTTGTAAGCGGGACGTTTCGCGAAGCCGCAAGCGGCTTTACTCGCCATTTTCATGGCGTCGTGAAGAAGCAACCAATGCTCATCTATACTTTTCGGTGGAGTGGTAGCTAGCCTAGAGGCTAGCTTCGCTCGATACTTACTTGCAACAGAAGTTGCGGCCAGTTTACTAATATCAATCCGTTGATAACGGTCAATTCTTCCGTCACTGAAAAGTAAGGTAAGATTGGCGCAGACCAGGGCATGACCAGAGTCCAGATAGGTACTCCGAAAGGAGCGGCAGTCTTGTACACAACCACGCCAGCAGTAGCTGATCACGATGTGATCAATCTGAGTTCAGGCTTGGGATGCAGAGGGAGGACGCCAGGCGGCACACCGGCGATGACTGTCTCGAAATTTAGTGCTAGCCAGAAACAGGTTGTAGTCTGTGCACAGTTGCAGCAAACGGTCCCCGTTATCTGTCCTGCGACCAACAAGTCCCCATCGGCCACCTAAACGACTCTCTTCTGTGCCTAGACGCCCGACCTGTGCATTCAAGTCTCCGGCTAGTACTACAATATCTGTCGAACGCGCTTTCTGGAGAAGAACTGTTAACTGGTGGTAAAACCCATCCTTGATTGCATCCGGGCTGCAATCTGTCGGGGCATAGGCGGAGATGACGAAAAGACACCGTTTCTCACGCCGGTTTCTTTGATGGAACTTTCTAATCTAACAGCACATAATCGACTGTTAATGGGGATCCAATCGATTAGTGCTGCCTCAGCCCTAGCGCTTAGTGCGACACCAACGCCAGTAAGACCAGACGAGGATTCCACAGGGTCCCCGGATAAGCGCACGTGGAACAAGCTTTTCGAGGCGACAGATGGAGAGCGAATTTGAAGTACTGCACTAGAGTCTTGAATACGGGTCTCGGATAGATAACAGACGACAACATTAAGACTTTCTAAAGACATAGCCAGCCCAATCTGTTGTCCAATCTGCATTAGTGTGCAAAGGTTGAAGGAAGCCAGCTTGAATGGCGTACGTGGTTTCAGAAAGACTGGTTCAATATTCGTAGTCGGTGGAAGCATTCACTTTCCACCAGGCAGTGACTGGAGATCGTTTAGATAGAACAGAGTTTCCACCATGGGCGAGCTGCTGCATAAGCTGAAAAGTAAAGATACACAAATTGGGAATAAAAGGGGGTGAATAAGCGACATGGTTAATAATAATAATAATATTAATGTAAATTGTCTGGCATATAGTAAGTGCATAAATAGAGTTGTCAGTAGAAGTCATCATTTCATTTATTTGTGTGAGGGCTGTGATACTGCCCAGGTGCCCAAACTGAAGCAGGTGGTTTTCTTAGGGGGGCACACCCAGAGCCTTTGACCTAAAGGTCTGATCCACAAGACAGTGGAGCATCGTGAGGAGATGCAGTCCCATTGTAGCCGGTGACCAACAGTTGGTTCATACGCCATTCGTTCCTTCAGGATACTGGAGCCCATGTGCACCATTGGTTTGGAATCAGGGTTTTTCAACTCCCCTAGGTAGACTTTCCGTGTCCACCAACCCGGTTAAAGCGCCGGACATTCGCTTTTCGTCCTCTCACTTTTGTGAACAACACGGCCGCCACGAGAAGGCAGTGAGTAGGACTTCCCTGGGAGAGGCTATATATTCGCGTGGCCATATGAGAGCATTTGGAGAGGGAGAGTAGACTCTCCCCTACTCTCGGCCGTACCAGTGCATTTTAGGGGTGAAGATCACATTGCTTTCTGTGGTAATTATAAATTAATATTTCAATTCAGATACCTTAAAATTTCACACATACTGAACTGTTTTATTGTTATTTCATCGTTTCCTACTTTTATTTATTATTATTATTTATTATTATTATTATTATTATTATTTATTATTATTTTTTTGGACAGAAAATCTTGTAGTGTTTATGCATATCAATAACCACAGCAGTCAAATTTATCCAAGTTTCACATTCATATATTATCAACGAAATGCAACCTACCTGTTGATTGACATGTAGTTTCTTTCATTATAAATACTGAAACAGCATACGATTAGTTATTAGCTTCAGTTGATTATTTTCATCTCGTTAATTTTTACGATAAAACTTTGTTTTGAAAAAGATCTTCATTTTCAATGCTTCCTAATAAATCTGAGTCATTCGCACCATCTGTCGGAAATGAATTAACCAAAAATTTTAAAAATCTTGGTGAACCTGTTTACGTAAATGTATATCATTTAGTGAGTATTATATTTTACTTTTAAAATATCATATATATTCTTTCACTTAGCATTGGCCTAATGGTTTGAAAATGGGTGCTTATCATACTGGAACTGTAGTATATGATAGAGGTAAGTAACAGTTTTATAGTGGAATTTTAAATGTTATTTTTATCTTTCCGTTTAGAATTCGGTTTTGGTGGACATCCATTTGCAAGTAGCGGTATCTTCCAGACTACACCAATGGATATTGACAGTTTAGGTGAAGAAATTTCATTCAAGTAAGTCCTAGTTGAACTTTTCATCAAATATAATGTTAACATATAACGTTTTTCTACAATTGTGCAACAACAAATGCATCATTTAAATCTAAGTGACCATGTTACTAAGCAATAAGGTAGAAAATTATATCACCAACAACATCTTTAAAGACAAATGACTGAAAAAGAGCAGTAGCAGAAGAGAGTTCATTTCTCAATTTACATATTAATTGATCATACATAAGTTCAGAAACAATCGGTCTGGTTGCCAATAAAGTCGATACTAATGTTTCCAGGCACTTAGTTTCACAACCTCTATAACCCTATCCAAACAAGGTATGATTTGGGTTTAGTTATACGCCTCTGCCATTCCTGGGATCACTTATTTGCTAAAAAAATACCCGGCCGTTATATCTGCTTTTAGTTTGAAATAAATAAGCTAACTCATCCGCCCCATACTTAGTCATTAGGGATACTCTTATTGTTATGGCTAATGATAATATTCGGTTCCTCAAACCAAAGTAAGTACAACGGGGTTCGTACCTGGGATTTAGTGACTGAAAGTTTCATGCCTTAAACACTAAATAGAATGTATACTTGTGCTTTCTCTACCTTTTTGATCATACTTTTGAACCAAAAGAAGAAAAGAAAAGTGCATACTACCAGGCCTATCAACTTTGAGCTATAATATATCCCAAACAAATGTCTACGTTAGTTTTAATCTCGTCAATACTACATAAGTTTTCGTGGTTGTTAAAGTGAGTCAACATTGAACAAATGTCTCAATAAAAATTCTAATGACCGTCTAAACTTTATAAATTATTTGTATTAATTTAATTAATTTCATTTAATGATAAAAGATTTCTTTAGATGAATTATTTACTCCTCATTCTAAGCATGTGTTGTATTACTTTGATCACACCTTCATAGTATATTGATACAAAATGTAATGGCTTGTAAATCGCTGTGTTACTATTCTCATATCCTTAAATTAATTCAATCCATCAATTAATAACTATTTTGCATCTTCTAGTATTCAGTTGAAAGTGAATATCATATATTTTCAACGGGGCTAATTTGATCAAATGGTCATTCCTTTTTTTAATTCTTATACGTAAATTGCCGTTCAAACCGTTTGATCAGTTTTCATTATTATACCCAATCTATACTTTTCATTTTAAGTGTTTTTAAATCGTGGTCAGATGTTATGCGTAAGAATATAATATCACATTCTTCTAATCATTATTTTGACAGTTGTATGCTTATTATTCGTATTATTCACCGATCCTTTTTAAAATCTGTAGATCTTCTAAAAGATATAATGACTCATTTAAATGAATATTTTGTGTTATTGACAATTTCTAGTGATGTCACGTTTTATTTATTCTCTCATTTTGTATTGTATGATTTCTTTTCAGCTTTTAACTGTCAATCCTATACCATTTACTTAGTTTCGTTAGCATTGGGACTCACTTATTACAACACCTAGTTCAATTTTGTAGATGATCAAAATTATTGCTTACAAAATTATATAATATTAAAATAATCACTTTGTGTTAGATACAGCTCAAACACTTCAATGACCAGTTTTATAATCTTCATCCGTAGACAAGTTACATAATACTGTGTAAATATGTGACTTGTAGACTTTCTGAAGTATATATTCTACACATGACTCGTTCAAATGTATGTATATTCACTGTAGCACACATTTAATACTCATCTTCATCAAGACATGAGAATTTCAGGTGGAAATAATCAACTTATTTTTACCCTTGAAAACACAGTGACTTAGTAATTAAAGTATTTAGGTTTCAACCAATAGATTCAATCTTTGCTCTACCTCATTCTACTTGGACAGCCGAATAGTATCATCAATATGGCTCAGAGTACATAAGTTTGTATTTTACAAGCAAGCTACATTAGTAATCGAACTTTTTAAAGCGATTTAATTTTGACGGTTATGAATGATAACCATGCTTTAAATAAATAATATATTTGTAATATCCCAATGATTAGAAAAATTAGATTTTCTTATGTTTCGTGACTCGGTGTAAGCCACTTCAGAGAATAAATAAAATTTATTCTCTACCTAATGCTCAATTTATTGGCCCCCAAATGCCCTGGTACGGCCGAGAGTGGGGAGAGTCCACTCTCCCTCTCGAAATGCTCTCATATGGCCGGCGAATATATAGCCTCTCCCAGGGAAGTCCTACCCACTGCCTTCTCGTGGTGGGGGTGTTGTTCACAAAAGTGAGAGGATGAAAAGCGAATGTCCGGCGCTTTAACCGGGTTGGTGGACACGGAAAGTCTACCTAGGGGAGTCTAAAAACCCTGATTCCAAACCAATGGTGCACATGGGCTCCAGTATCGTGAAGGAACGAATGGCGTATGAACCAACTGTTGGTCACCGGCTACAATGGGACTGCATCTCCTCACGATGCTCCACTGTCTTGTGGATCAGACCTTTAGGTCAAAGGCTCTGGGTGTGCCCCCCTAAGAAAACCACCTGCTTCAGTTTGGGCACCTGGGCAGTATCTCAGCCCTCACACAAATTGAATGAGATTTGTGAGGCGCATATTTGTCTGGTGCTTTCTTGTACCAATATTTATGTGTTTAAATAAATAATAAATCAATTTATTTGAAATAATTAAGTCGAACCTTGGTAATGATACCGACAACTATGTTTGTTTACCAAAAGTCTTTTTGATGATTGGATAATTATAATAATGATTAATCAGTAATTTGCTAAAATATCAAGTTTTGCAGTGAATTACAGATGACAATTTAGAAATTTGATGATTCACGCCTTAAACCAAGGGCCGTTTGCACCGTGTTTGAAGAAAGTTTATTAGGGTATGTACTAGGGAGGAGGGATCAAATACCCACACCATTACTACTATACATGAGTTAGGCAAGAATACCTATCAACAATTTTTCTGACTGGGAATAAACTCCATTGTTGTTTTCCATTTTGACCTTGCGCCTGGCAACCAATCAAAATGAGGTGAGAATTATTATTTACGCTATCGTAATTCACACACACCGATTAATTTTATTGTATAAATTATTCTAAAATATCTACAATAAGTAATTAAATAAACAAAAACGCGGCCCCAAATACTGACTGAGATACACTTACATTACTTGACAATATGGAGTTCGTCCCCACTCAGTTTTATTATTTGTATAGTAATGTTGTATAGACGTAAATCACTTATTATTCAAACCTATGAAAACCAAATTAACATCTCACAAATGAATATTACACCAAATGATTCGTTTAATGACTCCAAAAATATCATTCCTCATAAAATGTTTTTTATTTTTTCTGTTGTATCAGAGAAAGATTATATATGGGTCGGACGTATTTATCGAAAAAAGCTGTAGAACGTTTGCTTGCTAGTTTAGCTGATGAATTCCGTGGTGACGCTTACCATTTATTACATTTCAATTGTAATCATTTCACTTCACAATTCGTTGATGTAAGTATTGTATTTTATGCTTCTACTAATTCTTATTCTATATAATTTATGTAGTTTCTTTTCAAAGCATAATGACACATTATAACTATTGGATTATTTGACATTTTTATCAGAATGAATCTCTCCGGAAAAACTATCAACTATAACCGAAATTGCATTGAGTTTCGTAGATGTTATCGACTGAATTAAAAGGATATTTGTAGGTTCCATTCGTCAAAGACTGAAATCAGATGGGGTACCACTGAATACTGGAAGATACTGAACAGCAGTTTTTTCCCACTATAAAACGCCCCAAAACTATGCGCTAACAGTTCCTCCCGAGATCGTACTCAGGACCTTCAGGGTTCGCTACTAGCACGTTACCCTCAGATCACTGAGTTAGTGCACTTAATAAAAGTCTCATACTGAGATGAAATAGTTTTCCAAAACTCCCTGTCTCATCGATTGTTCAACTAACGTAAATCCATGAACAAATATAACTTACAAATAAAAATGATCCTCACAAACTGTTATATCCTGAAGAGAATTATGAATGGTAACTTTGAGGACTATTTATGGATCGATACGATACGTATATTTCCTATTATATAATTGTTAAGTAACTTAATTATCCATATTCATGTTCCTCTTATCATATGCTTCATTTTGACCTATGGACTATTACTGTACAATTTACGGTTCTTGAGTTATCCTCAGTCTATTAATTACTGTCTCCCACATTCACAGCCACATTTGACTGAATCTTGTACAAATATTATTTTTTATTTTGTGGTACGATGTGGTCTGTTTGATTGGTATATAAACCCAGCTGGTTTGAGAATAAGGATTCATATTGCAGAGACTGTTATTGCTGTTCTGGACTTAACTGATTGGGCGAGGCAGGAAGCAGGACCGCTAAGTACTCTAGACTGCTCGTACGGGTTTCGTGTGTCACTGGTCCGTCATATATAAACTCGGACACAAGTTATAACACAAACCTTTCAGCCATAAAAATAAATCAATATATGTTAATTCTCTTGTAAAATGATCACGACAAATGAACAATCATTAAACTGATTTATATTTCTATATACGTTAAATGAAAATTTAAGATCTGTGATCAGAATAAATATGTGTCAGATAGGGTGAGAGAGATATGATAGTGCAATTACAATTCGATCAAGTGGAAGACTAAATTGTGTGAAAAATTAGTAAGACGTAATAAGGAGGGATCACTGCGAAGTGAATGAACCATGTATAGGGAAGATTAATAATGATGTTTAACCGATAATAATAATAATAATAATAATAATAATAATAATAATAATAATAATAATGCAAAAATTTGTGAATAAAGATAAGAGACAATTACATTTGAACATCAACTCTGAGATGCAGGTACATCCAGCTGACGAGTCCCAAATAGGACGAAACGCGCGTCCTGGATTCCACTGCTAGCCACTATCCATCTCTGCTAACCATGCTTGTGAATTAAGGTATATCGAGGCAATACGCACAGTATGCACATATGCCAATTGGAGACTGACCAGTTGCAGTCCTAACAAATCGATGGGAAGATTCAAACAAACAATACTAAGTTGAATTAACAGAAAAAGTACTTGGACTGGGCAGTATACGCACTTCCTTAGCTTTGTACCTCTACAGTACAAACGAAACTTGATCAAAACCCTTAGTTACTGAGTACACACTATATGTTCAGAAGATATAGTTAAAGATGAGCTAAACATCTTGCATAATACTCTGAGGAAGAACGGTTACCCCAGAAAGTTTATAATTAAATATATGATCATGAAAGTGAAAATAGGCGAAATTTAAAAGGTCAAGAAGAAGTCCTTGTTCATGCGCCTACAATTCAGAGGGGATACAGCTAGCGAAATACTTACTCAGAGATTATGCAGATCAAACCAAAAATCATTCAACGCCGGTGAACTACGTTTAGTGTTTTCTACGCGCCCAATGGTGACACTGAGACTTAAGGATGAAGTACCTAGAATGACCACCTCATTGTGTATTTATCAGTTCGACTGCTCCTGTGGAGCAAGTTATATTGGTGGAAGTTCTAGGAATTTACATTTTCGTGCTTGTGAACACCTCTCAGCGTGGCTAAGTAAAGGTTTGGTGAAGAAAGTAAACAGCTCGATATTGGCCCATTTAGTACAAACTGGTCATAGGGTCAGTAGTTTTTTGCCAAAGCTTGTCAGGCTTAAAGTCCTTCAAACGACTGAGGCAGTAGCCATCAGGATGAAGAAACCGGAGCTATACGTACAGAAGAAATATCTCCAACCCCTGCTCCTCCCTTGGCCAACCACATGGCCAATTAATCAATAGTAATCTTAGCTATTGGATGACCTAATTTGACTATGTACTTACGACCTTTCGTAGTCAAATGTAATTGTCTCTTATCTTTATTCACAAATTTTTGCATTATTATTATTATTATTATTATTATTATTATTATTATTATTATCGGTTAAACATCATTATTAATCTTCCCTATACATGGTTCATTCACTTCGCAGTGATCCCTCCTTATTACGTCTTACTAATTTTTCACACAATTTAGTCTTCCACTTGATCGAATTGTAATTGCACTATCATATCTCTCTCACCCTATCTGACACATATTTATTCTGATCACAGATCTTAAATTTTCATTTAACGTATATAGAAATATAAATCAGTTTACTGATTGTTCATAAATAGTTTGAAATTAATTATTACAATTTGACATTATCCGAAAATATGTTTCAAGGTAGGGATTGAAGGATGTGTAAACTTTCATATTACTAATCCACGGTATGAAATTCCTGAACACTATGCATCCACGACTCTATTAGGGCTCAAACGCAGGACTTGAAGTCCTCGATTTAAACTATGGTTTATATTTTCGTGACAGTTATTCTTCATTTCTTTTGAATTTCTTTCATTACATGAAACTTAATACATGTCTGGGATGCTTCAACGTATTTCAATGTAATAGTAAACATAGTGAAAAAGCAATAATAATTGTTTTTACACGTATTTATTAGTAATGCCTTATTATAATCACCAAGAAACTCGTACTTGTTTTACAGTTATTGCCTCAAGAAGGTGACTGTAATCCTCAAGAGCATTGTTGCATTTTATGTCGAACCAACATGTATCAGCGCAAAACTCAGAGGTAAAACTATGGAACTCTGAATTAGAGTATGCTTTATAAAACACATTATATCTCTTTAAAATCTTTATCATACTCTCTCCGTTGCTGTATTTTGTGTTAAATAAGCTCTTATTATTCCGTCTTCCGTTTATTCTTGAGCCTAAGGTTCAGTCATGTGGATATATACTCCATTTCAAGTAATTTCTACGCGAATCATCTCAAAATACAATATTATACTATATTTTGCTTTTTGAATACCAGCATTCTCCTTTTTATACTTGTTCTAAAATTGACTATTTTTTCTATCGATAACGAATACAGGGTTCTCAATGTGTTGAATTTAAGATTTGTATCTACTTATCGGTCTTTTTTCATTCCTTATTGATAACCGGATTACATCAGTCACATTTGCAGTTTAACCAATAAGCTTAGTAACTGAATATCTCACTACTTTTTTCATGTTGTGTTGTTGGAGACAATTTACAAAAATCTATGGACATAGTTTTTGTGGTCTTTTTGGCTATAGACTAGATCGACAGAATTTGATCAGAACTATGAGCTAGTAAGTGTGACTTTGATTCCCACCCAGTTACACACTACACTCAATCCACATCTATAGCAAATCAATAACTGTTCAATGTTTTACGTTTTATTCTTTGACTGAGCTTTGGCTTACTCGAGTCGTATTTTGGACTTGAACACAACAAGCCTATCAACAAAATGTTTTACAGTAACAGCACATTTTAAACTAATATATTTTGACTTTGGCGACTAACTTAATTTAAAAGCTTTATACATAAAATCAAAATGTTCCGAAAATTCCATTCAGTTGCCACCTTTTGTAACTTCTCGAATATAGTACACTTCTGTCAGTCTTATTAGACAAAACGATTACCTGTTCTTAAAGTCTTTTGTGTAAGGGGGTAGGACCACAACTCTCTATTATCATCTGAATACCTAATGGTTTATGCTCTTGAATTCACCCTTTGGTAACTTTTCATCCTTAATATCGCCTTATATGTCCACAGTTACAGAGTCCTAGCATGCTGAAAGTCCGGAAATCGTTAAAATCAGTATTACAGGCGTCCTATACAAACACAAGGCAACTTTCAGAATGACAAACTTGTAAATGATTTTTTCAAGATTTCCAATTATCCACGCATTTATTCAGCTTCTAGAGATAGTATTTTACCCATCTGTTCTATAAAAATTTAATATATCACAAGAATTTCCGTGATTAACGTTAAGTATGTAGATAACATCATCCTGTTTACTGAAATCTTGGGAAAATACAGCCTTATGAGTACGACCTAGTGTTTTAGAATGACCCCCGACCGTTACCTATCGTAATGAATCAATCGAGCTATACTGGCTGAAACAATCGTTCCTCAAGGTCCTACCATGCCAGATAGGTCGGTTGGAGTGCGGTAAGACTAAAAGAAGCGAACCCAAGGTCCGAGCATGAAGCCGTACTGCTGACTGTACAGAGGTGTGACAGTAGAAAGGTATTTCCTTCAGACAGAAAGCATGACAGCGATGTTGCCTTCCCATAAGCAGGGGTGGGTTAGAAAAGGTTGACCCTAAAAATGCACACCTTGCCTCATCCCACGAATACCCGTCTCCGGAGGTAAGGTGACTTGAATCAAAGGGTTACGAAAAACTAATGAATTTCTTCTAAGTCTATTTCACTGATCGATTCTTGTAAACCCATCCCATCAGGCTCTGAACACGATGAAGAGCGAAAATAAATCATATCTAGGTTAACCAAAAGTCTACGGAACGTTCGTGAGTAGTGGTGAGCAACGAAAGCAAAGGAGATGAAAAGGCAGCGGCTGTAGGCAACACGAGACAGCTTTTCAGA